AGAACATCAGTGATGCTGTTCAAATTTTATTTAGAGACTTCCCCAAAACTTTTCTGTTCATAGATGTTTTTTAAAAAGCTCTAATAATTTTTGATAAAAAATGCACCCGTTTTGCATTTCTAATTTGTCTTTTCCTTAAACTATCAATCATCACATGCATCCAGCTGGGAAATGTGCTCAGAAAGCAAGTGAGGCAGGGAAGAGAAATGCATTGAGCAGTCTGATCTGCTGCAGAGCTTCAATATACCTTTTAGAGAAAGAAATGTAAAAAAGGGAAATATGAAGTGCAAGAAATAAACTGCAGGCACATTCTTAACCCTTTTGTTTATTAAAGGACAGATGCTGTTTGGAACCTACACATATAGGGAAAAGGGAAATGTATCCACCCCCGGGGCAGTAGTGGTCAGGACGCTGCCTTCCCCCTGTCCTGCCTGCAAAGAGCAGGATGGGCACAGGAGGAACCCCCACGCCCAGTCCTTACACAGAAGGGAATTCAGAAATTTCAGAGCCTGAAATATGAGATTTCTCCCAAGATCCCTCAGAGGGCAACACAGCCCCTTCCCCCTAACTTCAATCCAGCTGGCTACATCCAGTGGTTGCTGTAAGGGGCAAGCACCGCAGACCTGTGAACACATCTCTGTTGCATCACTCCCTCTGCTGAGAATTCCTCCAAGGAAAAAAAGTGAGGCATTAAAGACAGCTTTAATAGTAGACAACTCTTCAAAACCCAGAGAATGTTACAAATGGACATTATCAGCAGCTGAACTATTCTATGAACCTCCACACTTGCATAAAAAAATGCCAGGGAGAGTGGACAATGGGATGCTCAATTCTGGAGAGCAGCATCACTGCAGACATATTCAAGAAGATTTTCTTAAAGATTAACTCAAGGAAACTCCATCAAAAAAGCTACTTAAAGCTTTTCTTAAGTAGCTATCCTTAAGAAGGAAAGTCTTCACTTCACTAGAGGAGTTGAGGTCAAAGACAGTCATGGAAATTAGAGAGACATTTTGCCACTTTTTTTTTTTTTCCTATGAAGACCCTTTAAGTCTTTATCAGTAGTAGACGAGCATTTAAAGGCATCTGTCTCACGCTGAAGTCTACAGGAAACCTAATATCTATAGTCCACATTCTAAGCCCAACAGCTAAACTCTAAACCTTTGTCCAAAGGCAAATTCAAGACTGTTGAAAAATGCCAAAAAGTAAAAGCAGACTCCTGGGTACACCAGGCTGTTGCAGTCCTGCAGTGTCAAGTTTGCCCCAGGGTGAACAAATCCTGCTAAGTGTTCTCTGCTCAGTGGCCACAAGCACAGAGTGCAGGAGAAGGAGATGCCATGCGCAGGGGCTGTTTTCATCTTCTACCCTGGCTGGTAGCTCTTAACTCATTCCTTCTTTCCACAAAGTGTTCACCCTTCAAAACAAAATAAAGACATCTCTGGCTATATACGTGCACAGAGGACAAGAGCACTATTAAAAGCATTAGATTATTTCATTTAGAGAAAATCTTATTATCTTATGCTTGATGGAATACAGTAGGGAGTTGGCAAATTGTTTAATGTGTAAAATGTACATAATCGCATGTCCCTGCATTATGCATAATTTCCACTCTCCAAACTTGAAGACAACATTAAGAAATAAAGTTCAACTCCTAATAAGCCATATTAGTAATAACGACATTTGCTATTATTTTGCTTCTATTACAACAGAGTAACCCTGATGTAAGCTTTGGCTCTTTGCTGTTTTGCAGCATCACATCTATAATCAGAATAGTTTGGGTATGCAAATATACACTGCAGATCACGGCAGTAGCAAGTTTTGTGCAGAACAAACTGTCTATGCCTAGAGAATAAAAACACAGCAGAGGGGACGAGAGGCACGGGGTGACAGCAGGGGCCTTGAGCATGCGGACACAGGGAGCCAGGGCTCCAAGCAACCCAGCAATGGGCAGCAGCACCTGCACCCTGGCCACATTCACACTGCTCTCGAGCAAAGCACTCCTCAGCCAGCCACCCTGCCAAAAAGGGCCTTCGGCTCAGCTACACGAGGAGAGCAGTGTGGTACTAAACTTATATTACTGAATCCTTGGTCACTTAGTAATGGGTCATAATTAACTGAGAGGAAAAACAGATTTCTTGAACGCCATGGTCTGTGCCAAAGCATCGCTAATTAATCAGATAGAAATCAAAGTAGAAATACTGCCCATGAACACTCATGTGCGTTCACTTTTAAGTTCAAGGTATATTTCAAATACCTTGCAGCCCCCATCCTGTGACTCACACCCCATGCAAGACACAGTGCTTAAAAATATAAATGCATAAAGGTCTGAAAAACATGGCCTTTTGGGATCGGATTTACCTCTCTAATTTGTGCTTCATCCCTTCTACCTTTTTTCTTTCTTCCCCTTCCCTCTCCCCCTCAAAAAAGGCTAGTAAACTTTTCTTTCCTATTCAATTTTCATCATTCCTTCTTAAAACTGCTAATATCAATACATCTGAAGCACCCTTCTGAGCTGTTTCTCAAAACACGAGTTCTTGAGGGCTACATCCTCCCTTGACCCTATCAGTTGCCTCTGGAGCAAGAGGCCGCGTCCACCCGTCCTCCCTCTGCTTGCCCGGCTCCTCCTGCGAAGCAGGACGTGGTTGTTGCTGAGGGGGTCACGCACCCCCTCTCCCTGCTCTCCACACCTGCCTCCTCTCCAAGCGAACATCTGCCTCTGAATATTCACCAGGCAGGTTCAGCCACCGTAAGCAGTTACTGCAGCACTGATGTTCTGCATAATGCTCCTCTGCTATCTTTTTCCCCTCAGACATTGCAGATACTCTCATCACACTGCCTGCTCTGTCACCCCATAATCTGATTAATCCTTCAGTTGGAGGCTCAGTTCAAATGCCTGGCTTCAGACTGATCCCAAACCTGTTAATTCTTTCTGCAACATGGATAAAATTTGACATTTAAAAACATCTATAGCATTCATCCAGACTTTTATCTCATTTGATTTCAGTTAACATTCTCTTTTCTCTGGCTTTACTAGGCGGTATTTAGCCTTCCTAAAAATCAACCAAAACTTTTTATCCTATGTGGTCCTCCACCGATTCTCCATTGTCTATTGTATTAGTCCATCATAGCTCATCTCAAGTTTCTTCATTTTTTCTTCCCACTAACATACCATTTCCTATTGCCAGCCAGCACAGAAACCCAATGCTTGCTGTTAGGTTTTCAGACTCCTTCCCATTTTGCCCAGTGCTGCCCTACGGTTTTGTCAGGCATTTCCTTTAAATATCTGCAACGCTTCTACATGCAGCTTACTACATCGCTGCACACCAGCCCTGCCAGGGCAGCCCCACTACCTTTTCTCTGTATAATCAATTGTTTTAGAGAAGTTGCAAATAGTTTGGCAGGCAGGGACTTTTCAACTGAACTTATTTTGCCCATAAAAACAGGTCAGAAAAGGAGAACCAAGGCTAGAAATGCAAATAAGAATTACCAGCAAAGAGCCCAAAAGACAGCAAGCTAGCTCAAGGCAGCATGGATGGCGGACAATTTCACATGGGCAGGGCAGATTCCAGCGGCACAGAGGACTGGGGAACGCAAGGGTAGTTTGGAAGGGGATGTGGATACTTGTGTGTCTGTTGGCACCTCTTCCCACCTCTTTCCCTGACCTCCCTCTCATCCGGAATGACCCAGGGAGAACAGGATCTTCCTATGATGATGCTTTTTTCAAACCAGCATGGACATACAGCAGAAAAATCCTTCAATAGCTCTACCCTGACTTAACAGACTGCTGTATTGTCTGAGGTGTCTAGTGGGTCACCCCAATGGCTCAAGGTCTACAGAAGCCTTGGCTGTGAAGGTAAAAAACATCCCAAATTATTCTAATTCAGAAAGTCCAGACTTCTGCAACCTGACTTTCTGCTCAAAGACACATGTTCAACACCTCTTTGACATGAAGGAGAATTTTTCAGAACTGAAAAGAAAAACAATTCAAATCTCAGCAGTTTTAACAACTTAATTATAATGCCGCTCGGTTACTCTACTGGGCCCATTAAGAGATCACATGCTGCTCAAGGCACTTGCTCAAGAAGTTTTGTAGGCTTTTTCTTTTTTTTTTTTTCTTAATTACATTCTCATATACATACATATATATATATACACACACACACACACACACACACACATATATATATATCTCGGGCCAATGTATCACAAATGCAGGTTCCAGAAAGCTTTTCTTTAGCTCCTTAGAAGTCCCATCTATCTGGCAAGAACAAAGCTTTTCTGAAAGGAGCAGAAAACAAATCCTATGTCTCATATATTAGACTGAACCTCTGACTTACAAGCTATAGAAGGAAAGTTTCTTGTCTTTGTGATTTTTCTTGAAGAGGAAGTATTTCTTTTCTTTGTATTTTTTCATTAAAATACTAGAAAATTCTCCCATTTTTTTCCCCAGTGTGGACTGGGCTTCCGTGTGTGTGCACGCAATCCTACAGAAAACCATTCCCAGCAGAATGCCTCCTTAGCAAACCTCTGCAGGCATAATATGGCCATGAGCTTTGAGGTAAAAAGCATTCTTTTTTGCCTAAAGCGACATTGCATCCCAAAACTGTTAAGCACGTGGTAAGAGGCAAATATGATGGAAACAACCAGCTCATGGCCGCAGTGACTCTGTGAGCTCTTAAGGCCCCCAACAACACAGTCATATATGGAGCTGGTCCAATAATCTTAAGATGGGAATTAACACACTTGTTCCAAAATGACCCTAACATTCAGAACATTTGGCAAGTCTGGGCACATGACTTTTTCAGTAAACTAGTCACAGTTGAAAAGGTCATCTAATAAAATCTATTTTAAGAACAGCAAATAGTTGAAGAAGAGTTTCTGAATTTAATTGTTATTATTATTGGCTTTTCTAACTTTTCTCATTTATACTGTTTAATTGTGTAATGAAAAATGCAACAAATCTTGGTCAGAAAACATATGCCACAAGTTATTCCCCATCTTACCTTGTATTGCCAGTCTTATCTTGTTCCAGTTATCCAAAGTTATCCATTTAATCATCTGCAATAAGATCATGGAGTATAGATTATGCCTGTTTAACAGTTTTAAAGATGCTCTGAGATTTATGGATCTTATTACAGTTGACTTTTGTTCCCAAATAAATAAACGATGCTGAGCATTTCATTATTTTTTGTTGTTGGTAAGTGAAATCATTTTGGCTCTATTGAGCGTCTAAGATTTTTATTGTCTTGCTCTACCCATCTATCAGACAAAAGCATGAATTAAGGATTAAATTATCACAGCTACATACCTCCTGTGAATAACCATTACAGAGAAGAAAAAAGGGTTCCCCCTTTTCCTTTTTATTTCCCTACTTGAAGCAAGCCCCTATCAATCATCCCATTTTCCTCCAGATACTTCTGAGAATCATGCTGGGTAGACTTGTGTCATTTTTTCCATTAAAGCACACCAATCTATATTTTGAATTTGTTCCTCTACAGGAACACATTTCTTCTTGGGGACATTTTGAAACTATCTGGTCAGCTGTTACTTAACAGTTTCATATTTTGGCAGCAGCCATATAAACAACTGGCACAAGTGAAGGTACTGCCACTAAAACAGAATACCTTTACCACTGGTTTTCAATTTGTTGTACAGTCAAGTCAATAATCTTGCATTTCCTTCAGTTGTTGCGAGAGCAAAGACAGAAAACTTACAATCTCATAAACAAGTCGAACAAAGTCCCCTGGAGACAACAAGAAATATCCATCCCTAGAATTAGGTTTGCAAACTTCTCTATTCAATTGACTTAGAATTAAAAAATAGCATTCTTATGTTGTTTATAATTTTCTGTTCACGCTTGAGACTAGTCCCCAGAATCCAACTGCAAGTGATCAAGTTACCATGACAGTTATTTGCTATACAAAAAATAATAATTTCCATGTAAATTGTAATTATGCATTTCTATAAATTATACATATGAACTAGAGGCCTGCATTGAATCATCTATTAGCAACCACATGGTTAGCTATCATATCAGTACTGCCCAGTTGTTTCTGAAGCTATGGCATCTTGATGGCTTGCAGTCATACAAGTGTACCCCAAATCAAACTGGCAGACAAATGAAAGAAATTTCCTTATACGAGATGCAGAGACATGTCCTTTTCTTGCTGCTATCTGTTTTAAAGAGCATGAGCTCCTTGGTGACTAGAATGGCATCTTACCAGTTAAGAATTCCTATTTTCTGCCTTGGCTTTCTGGCGAAACAATCTATGAATAATTACGTGATGTTTTGGGAGTTACCTATAAAAATCTCATTCAGAAGGAACAGAAGCCTCATGATGAAAATCCCATCAAGGTTAATGCTTGGTAGGATTTTCTAATAAGAGTACTGTTACAAGCAACACTCAATTTAAATTGCAGACTTAAAGAGGAGTCCACTGCTCAGCAATAACAGAATACAGACATTTTGCCAGTGACCTAGCAAGTCCAATTCAGTGCAGTTTAGAAAGTGATTCAGAACTAGCTCTCCGGTACTATGAATAATGATTGATGAACACTAGCTTCCATCTAAAAATGTGGAAATCTCAAATTAAAGTTGATGTTCAGCTTTATCAATCCCTACACACAAAATTTCTGGGTTACTTGGACGATGCTAAGAAACTAGGCTTGTTTCAGAAACATGCTATGAAAATTATCTTAGATCTGAATTAGCTAACCTTTAGTGAGACAATAAAGAAAGTTTGTTTAGTTTTGAACAATTTGATCACATTCCAAATCCATACAAGATGACTTAAGAGACCATGTAACAGAGCAGATGAAGACACAATTAGATACAGTGACTGAAAGCTGGGGAAAGACCATTACACAACCTTTCTTTGGTCTTTATAGGCTGTAATTAAATCCTTGAAGCTACTTACCTGGAGTTGTGGATTCTCTCTCACTGTAAGACTAAGGAAGGGCACAATGTCACTTTGAAAGGTAGTATAGTTATACCTTCCGGCTGGCTCAGACTTAACACAATCCAGAAAATTCCTCTATGTGCTCTATCAGCTACAAAAATGGTTACTCATTCTGCTTCCTTACAAAATTTAAATAACAAGTAATTTAGGTGGGACGGTAATTCTTTCGAGGACATCCTTATTTCCAACTTTCCTCTCATTTCATACTTCAAAATAATGGTATAAAATCATATTGTTCCTAAACAGCATCTGAGCATTTACTTCACATTTATTTCTTTTTAAAACACACTACTGATTTCTAAAGTCTCTGTCTCTGTAATATCCCAAACTGATTTTTTTTTTCCCCCCCAAGACAGGTTGAACATCAAAATGTGTTCAGAATCTAAGACAGAACTTTCTTAATAGGCAGATTCAATTAAGACAGATTTTTTTCCCCTCCTCTTCTTCAACACTGTTTAAGAGCATTTTTTTCCCCCCTTGCTGGTATTTATCATAAATGCATCTTATTAATCCTGCCCTCCCTGCTCAATAACCTCAAAGGTGTCCAAAGCAGCTAAATCCTAGTATTGTTATGGCAAAATCCATGTCAGTCCACCTCAATTTGAAAAGATTAACAAAATCAGACATCCTAATCTCTAAGAATTAGTTAATTTATTCAATGACTTAGATAAAATTTTCAATGTTTAATAACAAGGTGTGCAAGTTTAAAAGCCTGCCCTTAGTTAGGAGTGGCAGATGCTGTTGCTTACTAAACACAAGTTTTTATAGCAGAGTTCAGTAACTCAACCAAGGTAGTTCTGATGCAATCAATGTAATTTCACAAATTACTTTCCCTTAGCTGTAAGAAATGAGGATCTCTAAGATGAGCATCACACTTCTCAGTTGTTTGGTTATGCCAAGGAAGACAGAAGTCTTTATTACATTTACACACAAATTCATTTCTGACTAGGAATGTGGGCACATACCCAAAGTCAGAATTTCCACAGAAGGAGATATTTTCTTGTAAAGAACTATTGCTACTTGTGATACTAGTTAGCTACAACAGGCATTAAACTATGGTTGATACTCTCTCATCACCAAATGACTACATTGCCCTTTTAGTCTGCTCCAGAAGTAGAAAATATCTGAAATGACTTGTAAGACATATTACGAGTCCTCTCTGGAACAGAGTATTGTTTAAATAAATATTAGCTGGAATATTCAGAATATACTTATAATAATATTGGGGGTTAATTTTCTTCTGCCCTCATTTAGGGGTTATATTGGAGGTGAATGGATGCTCCCTCATCTCACCAGGATGGTAGGTCTCATCTGTGGAGCCAACCTTGCCATCTTCATATCCCAACTGGGCAAACTTGTGTTGATTAAAGAGTTTTCTGCCCAGGCAATTGGCAGATAAGAAGTCGCAGTGCTCCTGCAGTGCAAAAGCGCACGCAAGAGATGCTCACACGCAAGAGAAGCTGTGGCAACTTCTCTTCAACATTCACAGGTATATGGATTATTGAAGAGAATGAGTGAAGCTAAGGAGAAGCAGCAGTGGAAACTTTGGGGATCATCTCGTATCTGGAATTTCCTTAAGAGAAGGAGAGCCACCAGGGCACTCTGTAAGGCCTTTCATGCTGGAGTTAGCCTACACCTACCTCAGCCATGTAATTCAACTTTTCTGCTTTCTTTAAGACATTTTCACATTCTTTTGTATCTAAAATACAAGTGAGGCAAAATTACAGTAATTCATCAAGCTGGGTGCCCTACAGCATTCACATATAATCAACCAAGGTGTTCTTTTATATCATAGATAAATCCTACCTCCCTGGTCATAGGCTACTTATCTGCACGCTACAATATCATACTTTTATGATATTGTACTTAGGTACCCAGAAGTACCTAAAGGCAGATACAAGCAAGTAAATCACAGTACTAAACAGGACTGTATTAGTAAGTTTTGTTCAAAATACAAATCAAAAATCAACGTAAATATTGGAAATGAAGAAAAACAGTGTAGCGCATATGACCAGTACTTGTGTTATTTTCAGATGCAGCCATCAGGAGTCCAGGTATTTACAGCAAATAAGCATCTCAGATTTAGGAAGCGAGCAAGAAGTAGTAGGTTGATATATTTATGTTACTTGGCATTTATACTCAATATCTTTATGACACAATTCTTTTGACTTTATTTAGTTGTAGAGACTATTATTTCTTACAGAAGCATCACAAATCAAAATATAAACCTACATTTTAAAAAGTTTCCACTCGAATATTCAACACTCCAAACTGCAGCTGAAAAAAAAATATGATATCTATTCATTTAATTATCTTCTGACCCCATACTACTATCAAATGTTTCTATTATGGGTCCTAAAACATGTTTTTCTCATTTCCATTTACAATGCAGCGAAACAATATTGCCACGGAAAAACTGTCCAAAGGTGGGGCAGTAGGAGGCCAAGTATCCATCTCTACATCATCAGCCCTTAATTTGTGCTTTCAGTAGAAGCACTGCCCAGTTCATGCAGTCTTCCCTGAAAGTCTCCATTAACAATGGAGATGCATCCACTGACATGGATGACAATGAACTGTGCACAACAGAAAAACATTTGATGGGAAATACCGTACTAACAGATTTTTTTAAGCAGTAGTTTGAGACCTTGATTTCAACTGGAACGTTTAGAAGAACACATACATATAAAGGAAATAAGTTCTATCAGTATCAAGATGACAAGAAGACTTGAAAAAGAAAAAACCTTGAGGAATTAATACAAATAAGGAACAAGTGTAATATTATAAATTATGCTCTTAGAGGCTAACACCAAAATATCTCTCATGATACAAACTTAAAATACAGTGAGTGTGCCATTTAACACAGATAAGGAAGCACCGGGTCAGGAAATTATTAATACGGACTTAAGAACTGAACAAGGTCCTGAATAACATTTTCAATTCTGTTAATCCATTACTCAAGAATGATGAATTCAGACTGGGAAACACACCGGGATGAACTAGCAAGATGATTAGGGGCACAGCAGGATTTATCACAAGAGAAAAAGCTAAGCCTCTTCTCTTGATTAGCTTAGCAAAGCGTGGGTGTGCAAT